GGTTTTAATTTCGCTAATAATATTTAGTTCATTATTTTTTTCAGGAGAAAGAGAAGGAACTCCGGTTGACAGGTTCACTAATACAGAACTAGAAGATTACAAGACTAGTCGTCTGAATTATACAAAAAGGATTTTTTTAAATATACATAGGTAGGACATTCGAACAGCTTGCTTCATGAATGCAGTTGCCATTATAGAGATAGGTTTAATGTAGTCTATAAAGTAAATGCGTTCGCGAGTAGTTTTTCAGCTGTTTCTTTAAATGACACTGAAGTATCTATTTATTAGTAGGTGAAAAAAATACTAATTTACATTAGCTAAAATCTACTATTCACTGAATTCGATGAGTTAATAAGAGAGGGGTACGTAACAGAATGCATGTTAAATATTCTGTCGAATTTGACCTCGTAATGGTGGACTTACCTGCTAGTCAAGTAGTGACTTCCTCTTCACTGAAACTCAAAACAGAAATCCATCAGACTGAACACTGGTGCACTGTTCACTGCGCTACTGAATCATAATACGCTTGACGAGCATAAGTTTCAGACTGTGATTTCTCCTATATGAATACCATAACTGACTGATCAATTCAGCCTAATAAACGGCGAGAAACTACAACTTTGCTTTATATGAGCACGTTTTTGCCATTTTCTAGTGTTATCCTAGAATACCTCATAGACTGTCCCTTAAAATATCTACCACTGATGCTAAAAATGTACGTATTTAAGTGTGGCAACACAAAAACATCACAGTAAAGTAAATTTTCTTTTCAATGACTTTATTTACTGACTTGGTAGAACACTGCATTTATAGCCAGTGAAAAAATAATAGTCTGTTCATAATCAGTAAGGATACATGGTGAATATAATCTTCAGTATCATATTCAAAAGTTTTCAAAAACAGAAGAAAACTAGTACTCTGATCACTTCAAGTAAAATTAGCGCCTTTAGTGTCCTTAAAAACAGGTATTTCGGAAAACAGTGTAGCTTGAAAGAAAGAAAAAATTATGACAGTTCTAGCCTTGAAGACCTCGTCATCTTCGTACATTCAGGACCTCTGAGAAGCTTCTTGAAAATAAATTAACTAAGTGCTTCCACATATCTCTCAAGGACTTCAACGGTGTCATCTACATATAACTGAATCTTGAAAATTCACAAACACTACCATTATGGTTGGTAAACAACATGTATTCATTAGCCTTACCAAGACCAGGAGAGTAATTCTCTTCTGTTTCAAGAAATAACTTTCCTTATCTACCCTGAACATTTAAGGAATTACAGAACCGTGTCAATGAATAATAGTGTATCATGTTCATGAAAGCATTTGAAGTGAAGACTAAATGATGCCCGTCAGTGGTAAACAATAATCGATTACCTTTGAGGAAAAATATGGATCCAGTAAAATAATATTATACAACGAAATAAGTAAAGGAGCTATACTGAGTTCATATATTGGGCAAATATCTCAATTAACTGAGATATGGAAAAACTTCAGTTAATTCTCGTTACCTTTTTATTGAAATGTCTAACGATAAAAATTTTGGTGAAGATTTATTGGTAACGAATATCATCACCGATGTAAGGCTTGCAGGATGTTAGGTGTTATTGTGCAGAAGAAGTACTGAACGCAGATTCTATTCTTCAACATATTAGTTGACTCATCCACAGTTTATCTCCTACTCCGACTTTACAAGATTGACCAGTCTCCCCCAGAATATGAAGTAGTTTACTTTATAGTCATTTAGAAGTTATCTATTCAGGGTGACGGTAAAGAACGGGAATTCGGTGATAATAAATGAATTTATCTCATTCCGCTTTGTATCATTTTGTCAAAAAACTGAATGCATGAAGTCTAGGTCTTGTGATTGGTTAATTCTTACAATAAATCTTAACGAGTTAACGATTCTAACCCAGTGGCCCAATGGTAACGCGCTGGCCGCGGAACCTAAAGGTCGCGGGTTCGATCCCTGCTGGTGGGGTCGTGGGTGCGCACTGCTGAGGAGTCCCATACTAGGACGAAACAGCTGTCCGGTGCTCCCAGGTTTCCTTTCTTCCTCCAACTGATGTCAGTCTACGACGAATAACAACTTGAGTTGTAAGTAGTTCAGGAACAGTAACAATAAGCAGTAATAGACCAAGCCAATTAGTTTCTTACGTCAAGAAATATGGAAAAACAAGCTTTTTAAGTGATAAGTAATGGTTGAATTTTATCTAGATAATGAGGGAACAACTATCACTTAAGAGTGTGCCAGTTGAATTCATTTTTCACACCATCTGAATTACCTTGTGATGTAATTGGATCAGCTATGAACAACAAGTTACGAAAAATACAGTCAGCTTATTTTCACTCTTAAATACTTAATTCAGTGAAAGGAATGCTTCAGATGGATTTCGTACTTAGAGCTATAATTAGCAGAGTGGTGTAGGCAGGAGAAATCGTCGATGGTACAGTCTAGAATTAGAAAGTGTATAAAAGTTGATGGATGTAAAGATATCAGTTAACTGGGAGATATTTTAAAGAGATAACTCAGTGTTTCAGAAAAGGAAGTTACTTCGGAACAAAGTAAAGTCGTTAAAAAGTCGAAGAATCCTAGTGTATAATATAAATTGATAACTCCTCTCACATGATTCAGTTGCAGTTTACAAAGTATCTTAAACGACGTTTCACGGGGCAACAGATAACTTTATAAGAAACTTGAGCAACAGCTGAGTATAGTCTTCTTCTCAGCCTTTACAATTCGCTTCCTTTTTAAAGGAGCAACTATAAATATGAATGTAAATTGATGTGATACAGTGTATTGACTGACAAATCAGACAATTTAACTCAGGTAACTATATGATCTACTCAATAGCGAAGGTATTTTTACATCAGGAATCGAAAGTTGCAAAGTTCAAGAAAGTTATTTTTCTGACTGAAAATAATAGGTTTCATGCGGTAAAATAGTACGAAAATTGGAATAAGGGTAATTCACAAATTTTCATAGACAAAAGCATCGAATAATTAATCAGCAATAAGCATTTTGAGAGCATTTTTCTGAATATCCGACTTCGGAGTTTTCGGGAATCCGCCTTCTTTTAGATATCGTTTTTCGCCATATTAAGCACACTTCAAAAATCTCAGTCTTTGTGTTCCCTTAAGCTTTATAAGCTACTTAAGCCTATGAAAGAATTGTATGCATTTATGTTGAATTTGTCCATAACATACCTATCAGAAATCAGGGTACAACTCAGGGAGGTAGAGTATTCAAGAAACGCATGTAATATTCGACCTGCAACCACACTACGTGAACCTGTTGCCGAAATGAATCATTCATCAGTGAAACAGATATCAGAAACTTTAATACAGTAGTAAAACTTGGGTACTGTGGTCGATTGTAATTCCATTTTAGTCAGCATATTAGAAATATCGCACAGTGAAACAGTATCATTGACTGGATAGTGTTTCGAACACAATTTATTGTCCATATTCATATCAGGTAACTCCACAACTTTGAGACATTGTTTGTATGGTTCTAATCTGCCCTTCTTGGTGATAAGGATAGCGGTATTTTCCATATATTCAAGACTATTTTATAATCGTTTCCAATGTATATACTTGTTGTTGATTCGATAAACAAAAATTCGGTTGTCAATCTCTCCCTCCCTTACTTTATTAGGATCTACTAATCTTGATTTAGCTGTTTTTGTGCTTTGTTATTCTAACTGACCCTGGTTGACTACTCTGACCTATGAAGAAAACTGCATCCAACAGTAAGCTTTGGTATCTGATAAAAGTAAATAAAACATAAACAGACGTGTGAAGTATCATTCTAAAGTCACAGCAAACAGAGCGTTCGTACACGCTATAACCGTCCATCACAAGCTCATACTCTTTTTCATTGACTGTTTGTATCAGCTTACGCTTGAGACCTTCGATATAATTCCTGATGTTGTGCGAATTTCAGACTATTCTATGGACTTCATCTTTAAGACGCAGTTTACGATAAGTTAAATAGCTGTTTTGACTTGTCTTTTATAACTGATGCAAACAGATGTAGATAATTAGGAACGATTTGATTTCTAAGACAATACTGAACACAAAATGGTTTGCGTATCTCCGTTCTGTCTGCAAAAGTCGTGTGAGTTTTTTGATAAGTCTTCAAACAGGAAGACCACATGTTTCATTATGTAAGAGTGAAACCTAGTCACTGTATCCTGCTTATTAAAAATGTTACAAAGTGAAACAGTATCAGAAACTTTAATAATTTTAACCAGTTAGTGAATTCGGCCAGTAATTTTAAAAGAAAATCACGATTATTCAACTACAAGTAAATTACCCTATATAAAATAAAAGTGAGATGGCGTTCCTGAATTTGACCATCACTGACTATTCTTAAACCTATCAATTATTGATGAAGTGCCACAAACTAAGGAATTGAATGCTGATACAATTTTCTTGATGTAGTCTAGTAGTGGAAGCTGGGGTACACGCTCTGACTCAAAAAATATCATTCCATGTGTTTTGGATCAAATATGCCAAGAGAGGTCAATCGATTCAGTCTAAGAAACAATCAACAACAGGAAATCACAATTTTTAATATCGAACAATGCCAGTTGCACAAGTGGTCGCCCTTGTTACTCAGCAGCCTGATGGAGAACACTCTAGTGTTTGAAGCGGTCGGTACTGCGTTCAAGCCTCAGCCTGATCACCTTCACCCACCAGAAGGTGTGTAGATCCATGACGATTCGTAAGCAGGACAAATTGTACCTTTTAGATTACACCGTTAGCTAGCACCAGTTGTCAAAGGAGACCGAGAAATGTAATTCATTATGATGATAAGCAGAAAGAAGTAAGTCTTGATATCAGAATGAATTCGTGTTTCATACGATTAAACAACCCAGCTCAGAGAACACAATACAACCAAAACTTTTAAGAATAATTACAAGTTGTGTTTAATGTTGATATTTTGGTTTAAATAAAATGTAACTAAAAAATTTCTAATTTATTTCATCTTTTTACAGGAAATGGATTCATTGATGGCGTAGAGCTAGAAATGTTTATGGGTAAACTTGTTGAATGCATTATCCCCAAAGATGCTAGAAATGTAAGCCATATCTGTAAACTACATTTATCTTTTCGAATTCACTGTTGGAGGTTTTATCTGAGACTTAAACAGTTTTGTCCGTGAAAAAAACATGAATATACATCATAGTGTCGATGGTTACTAAGGTATTTCAAGGTATTGAATGACTTGATGTTTTATAAATTAGGTGGTAAGTGTAGACAGACCATAAAGGAGAAGCTTAATGGTTAAGTGTGTGGATTCATTACTGATTGTTGCTAATCTTCTCATGACTTCAGATAAGCCTTCGTTATATTTGCTTGGAAACACGAAACCTAAGCTGATCTGGATTTCCTTGGGACTGACCCCCAGCAACATAAACGAATCCTTTTCAAAATCCAAACCTCATCACTTTGAATCTTGGCGCTGAAAGTAAATTTTAACAACTAATATTTAACTTAGATGATTCTGGTGTGAGTAGTCTAGATCATTTTTTTGTCATGGTGTAAAGTTGAGAGGAACTGTCAGTTATCAGATCGCAATGGTATCTTAGGCAACCATAGGTATTTAGATCAATTTTCGAGTTCTATTTGCCGACTGTCGATGATTACGCACTAAAAATGATACGTAACGATGTACAAAAATCTGTGCACTAAAAAAGTCAAGCTCAGAGGTTTAGGAAGTCGGCTCCCTGTGTTGATTTTCACCATTTCATTGATTCATCAAGAAAGTATGAGCTGCACAACTGTTCTCTTAGGTAATCAAAACGATAATGATGTCAAATGGTTTCCTATGGAGAAGTCACAGTCAAGACCGCAACTAGTCATAAAATCAAGCAAGACAGTTAGAAGTGTGCTCGTTCATACAGATAACGCGAGAGCTAAACTCGAGGCAGTAGAAGCGTTTTTAACTTTGGTACAAACATTGCTAAACACAATAAAGTGTCTTAAATCAATGCTGTTTCTTAAGACAGACATCATCTCTGTGACCTAAGCATGTATTGGGTTCAAAACATGAAAAAATATTGAATTTTTCAAGTCTTAGAAAATGACAAGGAACATACAACTAAAACATACAAGTAGTCGGAAACCAGTCACACCGATCTGTGAATTTCAGTAGGCAGATCAGAAAGACTTGGAAAATTTAAAATAAAACTGGGTGATCGTTTCACTTTGATCTGACTAACGAAATCAAAAGATCAAACTGAATGGTTTCTAACTACTCATGCTGTTCACTAACCTATATTTCTTTAGCTCATAATAGTTTTGTGCCAAAAATCACTCCCTATGTATTCCTGACTGGGTGGTTTCCAACAGAAACTTTTTAACACCAAAGTTAAGTAGTCGTAAAACCAATTAGCTTTAAGAAATATAAAAGTAAACCACGCAGTTTGTAAATGATTTGCAAAGTAATGTAAGCATTTTTAGCTTGTGGTGTAAACCTGTCACTCAAAAATACAGTGAGCTTGATTAACTATATTTGAAAAAATTGTTCATCAAAGTTGTTTAAGAAATAAGACGTCATTCATAACAGACGTTATCTACTAGTGTCTCCATTTTGAATAGACAGATGTATAGAATATAAGTTGGTTGAAGAAAACCAACAGGATGCCACGCCTGACCTATTTTTCATGTTTGTTGGCACTCATCAGGATGGCGTATCTTCAAACTTAAGGGAACTGATTTCCTCTTAAAGATTATAACCCAGTGTTGTGGTCAATGAATTTACATCTGAGCGAACCTACTCACATCACTAGGGCAGAAGGTTTGAAAGGAAGGCAAGGTACCTTGTCAAACTTCCAAAGAAGAGAGACCTAAGTCTTTGCAAAAACTGTCGCGGAATCATGCTGCTGTTCACACCAAGCAAGCAAAACATTATGCTGCATCACACTTTAGAGACTGAAAGATGCGCTGGATTCAAAACTACGACTGGAACAGGCTAACTGGCTGGCTTCAGGAAGAACAAATCATGTGCACACCAAACTGCAACGCTACGCTACGCATCATTATAGAAGAGAGAACAGAATGGCAGCCAAATCTCTACCTCAACTTCATCGATTTTGAAAAGGTCTTCGACAGACTCGACCAAGAAGTAATTTGACAGGTAGTTGCTTCAACATTACGGAGTGCCACAAACCTTTATCAACCTCAATCATTAGCTAGATGACTACGCCAAATGTCAAGTGATTCGCAGCGAAAAGCTCAATGATGCCTTTGAAATGAAGACAGGAATAAGATAGGGCGCCTACTATCGCCAACGGCCTTCTAATTGTGATCGACTGGACTGGATCATGCAACAGACAACTGTGATGAGCAAGAAGATGAGCATACGCTGACTGGACAATGAGAAGACCCTAGAAGAAAATTTGGATTTCGCCGCCGCCACCGATGATGATAACTTATGTCTAATGTGTTCTCGTACAAACTCAAAGATCTACAGGGGAAAACAAACAGCTGACAGAAGAGGTAGGCAAGGCAAGGCAGTGAAGATGAGACCTCCGCCAGGTGAATGTAGAGAGGACAGAGGTGATGAAGATACTCAACCAAACATCAGCATCAACAACAACAAGCACCAGTCACCATCAACAATAGGAGAAATCTGAAGGAAGTAGTCTCCTTCACATGCACCTAACTAGGCAGCATCGTTTCAACCACAATGGTACACGCACAGATGTGGATGTCAAAACCAGCCACGATCGGAAAGACAACAAACAGACTTTCATCAATCTGAAATCACTGTGGAGATCTACTGCACCGCACTACACTGCACTTAGCATTAAGTGTGAACAACATCCGGATTTTCAACACTAATCTCAGTCAAGTCAGTGCTGCTATATGGTTCAGAGACGTGATGCCGCGTCATGAAAAGCACTTCCAACAAACTACAGACATACATCAATAGCTGCCACCTACGCTGTCTCGATACTGAAGGTCAGATCAGGTGGCCGGAATAATAAGAATAAGCAACCAGGAACTCATTCTGAACTGGCAACCAACCAACCAACCAAGAACCCATCGCGCAATAAATATTCAGAAGAGAGTGGAGATGGATTGGGGATACGCTGAGAAGGCCGAAAGAGGACATCACGCTCCATTCAGGCCTGGAGTGTAATGTGGAGGGTAAAGTACGAGTTGAGCGTGAGAGTCGATGATGACATGGAGGAGATGGTTTGAAGAAGAAATGAAAGGATGTTGGCAGTCGTGTAGCGAGGTACAAAAGACTGCAGAGATGAATGTGAAATGGCTACATGCTACTGAAGCCTATGTTCCACTAGGAACCTAAGGGAGAAGGAATGATGATAATAATACCATATGAACTCGCTTAGACCAATACATATGAGCTGGTGTGCTGTATACTAACTAATCACTAAGTAATTTTTCTACCATGTTAATGCCATATTTTCCTTTTCCAAAGAGCTAAATGACCTTTTAGTATAACAATTACAACTTAAGTTGGTGTGTTCGATTGTTACTGAGTTTGCCAGCACTGGTGAATTTCGGTGAAATTGAAACATACGAAATCTTGGCATCGTAAACCATATCAGCTGCTCAGTATATTTAGTGTCCAAATACTCAGGTCCTAACCTTGCCAGCTTCTGGTTAATACCAGTGAATTTCCAAGCACAACTAAGGTAAATAACTGTACAATGACTGTTAATTACTAGCTTTAAAATTGTCCAAAAAACTGATTGGTCGTCATCGGCTTGACTATTGACTTTGAACGGAATCTCTTATTAGTTTTCAATGTTCATTGCTGAATTCTAATTCAGACTGCAACAACTACCTAAACTTTTCTGGGCTTTTGAGGAAGCTATAGTTCAATTCAGTGCATAGCGAAAATTGTTCTGAAATTGTTATTTAATAAATACAACTTAAACGGCTAGAAACCATTAAAATGGGAAACATGTGAATAAAAACCATGCAGTTTGCGGATATTTCGATAAATATCCGACTGCTGTTTAACACTGTGTAGTGATGCAATTTAAATAACTTAGCCATTCTAAAAACATCTCCTTAAAGGTATGTAGTTTACATAGGGTATTTGAACAGTGTAATGAGAAGAATACTATCCTAAATATGAGATATATTAGCTCTATGCATTTTGAACAGAATTTTTATCACACACTGGCTTATCGATTAGGTACTGGAGGGTAACCAACTTTATATTGTTTAGTCTTAAGCTTTGATCGAATTTCACCCATCATTTTGCTTTTTGCTGATTGCCTGCATCTAACTAAAAATCTATCATAGTGCATAGCGATGCTCAGCTGCCTAGTCTGGTGGCCATATTGCAAAATGATTACTTCAATTCAGTCAGCTCATATAACTAAACAACATGAAGTTGGTTTCACTGCAGTGGTTAATCAAGGTGCCTAATCCAGTCTTACAAAAGGTTAGTCGCGACCTGAATAGCTCAGTTGTAACGTCTCTAACTACAACACTGGAGGATGAGGATCCCAATCTCAGATGGGACATCAGTTCCGTAGGTTAAGGGTTTTTCCCAGTTGCCTCCATCCAGCTAACACTCATTGACTTGTTGAATTATTTATATGAAAATTAACGAAGAATATCAATTCAGTCAATGGGAAACAAGAATAGGAAGCGCGGAACAAAGTCGAAATTTAAATCATATCACACTTCTACTGTGAACTAAAATCAATATTATTCTTCTGTACATAAAGGCGACTTTAATTTATAGATGGCTAGAGTTCCAGTAACTGAGCTCTGAATATGTTTATGCAATACTTAAAAGATTGTTTTCATGTTCACTCTATGACTAGTTTCTAGTTTCATGATCATGTCAATGTCAACATTGGTATGACCATGATCAATAATTTATGCTCAAAACATCATTGTGTGTTTTAAATCAGTCGAACAAATATATATTATGGAATTACATTTTGCTACGGTGCTCAACTTTTACACTCTTATTAATAGTTTCTAGTATATGTTTGGCAACAGATAAAAATGAATGTCTATACCCTGCAGTTATTAAATGTCTTTAGGTCATCTATCTTTGAAGCCATTCAGGTAGATATGTAA